GGATGAGAGGGCTGCAATGTTTGTCGATGATAAAGAGACTTTGCTTGTCTTTTGGTTTGCTCATTGGACACAGATTCTGGAAAGGTTTTCCCCGGGCTGGGGTGGCGGCCAGGAAAATATTTACAAACATAATCGCTGAAAAATTAAGTTTCTGAAATTGCTTTTTTTTCAGTTTATTACAGCATATTGCCTGAAATTTATCAATGAAAACGAGCTTACTCCCTCGAAAACCCGGGATTTTCTAAGGAGTATATTTTAAGAAAATGGTTAAGGCAAAAAAAGGCATGAAACACAATTAAAAACGAAGGCAAAACGTGATCGAAAGAGGTCAAACCCCAGAGCAAGATTAAGCTGTGAGCTTAGCATACTTAAGTGGTCACGGGCCTGGGCTCTAAAAAATAGAAAAATACCGTGCCCGGTTAAGCGCAGTATCCCAAGAAGAGAAAGGTCTCTAATTGAGTAAACGCGAGCGGAAAAAAACAGGAATTAAAATCGGAAAAACGATAGATATACCCACACAGAAATATACACAATGAAAAAGGGAAATTGGCGTGGAGGCCAGGCAGCGGTTTGTTTTCCATTCCTAAGCTTATTTTGCAGAGCCGCTTTCGCCGAAGTGGCATAAGATGCATCAACAACGGGCAGAAAGGAATCAAAATATAAAAAGCAAAGGAATTAAAAATGTGAATGGTTGAGGGGTCCGCGGATGGAGTGCTTCCACTGGCAAGGAATCAAGACAAAGCAAATGGAAGGCCAGAGGCAGCGACCCGCAGCGCATGAGGGGAACATTAAAAATGTTGGGCAGCTTTCGGTTCTTAATCCTTTTGGCCGTCGAGCTCATTATGCACGCCCATTGGCCGGGACGTTTTTAATGACCCAAATCCGGCCGAATGTCGGATGCCCCAAAGGCGGACGGCTCGAGCTTCCATTTTTTGATTAATTATGTGCCGAAAGTGAATGAGTTTCTCCAGCTCCCGGGTAATTCAGGTAATCTCTGCATTGTCTATTTTGACATTTGCTGTGGGGTATTCATTTTTTCCCCAGGATGGGAGCTCAAGGTGTGCTGTTTGCATCCACCCCTCCTTTCATGCTAAATTTATCAAATGCGTAATGAGCGTACGTGAGCTGCATGCCATATGCTTTCCCCCACATTTTCACCCATGACTCCCAATATTCTTTTATTTTTTTTTTTTTTTGGGTTTTCGACCACTATTTGGCAGGGGGGAGTGGGAGGGGTGCTCAGCCGTCGGTCTGTTAATTACAACTTAAATTGACAGCAAAAATTGGACTGGAAAATTGTGGGTTTTCCATGCGGTCGGCATATTAAGCGCTAACTTCGGAGGAGTTGAGGTACAGAGTAGCATAATTTCGCTGGCAGGAGTAGACAAATGAAGACTTAAGACCTACTTAAGGCCAAAGGCAGTCGGGCGTATAGCATTCAAAACTCCTAAGCTGCCCGAAAAGTATTCCGCAACAAAAGCGCCGCATAAAAAATCCAAGTAAAAACAACAAATTAGCTAAGAAGACAGGGGAAGTGATGGGTGGATGGGTGGCTGGGTGGATGGGAGTATGGACGGATGAACGGATGGAAAGGGAGAAGCATTTAACCCTAATTTGACACACACGCAACCTTGACGAACGGAGTGGAGAGAGGGTTGAATAAAGCAGGGGGTTCTGGATGCTCCAGGGGGTGCGGCGTCATAGGGCAAGTCACAAATAAATACATTTACGCCTATCAAGGGTTACAATGAACACAATAAAAGGAGTTAGTAGAGGTTTTACTTGGAAGTTTTAATACCCTATAATAGGCAGATGCCAGAACATATCTTGAAAAACATAGTGTTTGACTTCTGAAAGCCTTTCGATGTAAATACCACATACTTCTATATAACAAAGATTCCCTTATCCACTTTCAGAAACTATATTTATATTAAGCAAAAATGTAATAACGCAATCCTCGCACAATTTTAATTTTAAAATAATTTATATTATCTAATGAAAATCCGACTTCAAAATGCTATTTATTTTTAAGAAATTAAACTTTAATTGAAGGTACCAAATATTTTTAGATTTAAATTGAATAGGAAGGAAATAAAAATAATTTACTTTAAATAATCTGATGTGAAAATAAAATATTTTGCTTTCGCTATTGTTTAGAGCTGACCGCCAGCACCTAGTCAAATGCTCATAAGTGTGCGCTGCACATGCAAGGCTGTTATACAGCTTGCATGGTTATTGTTCTTCGTCTTTCTTATCTCGCTACATTTGTCGCGTTATCTATTCAGATGAGCATGTATAAAAATTTTAAGTCAAGCTTTCTGCAAGTCAGTTATACGAAATCGCTGCAACTCCGAGCACAGCTAATAAAATCAAGAAATAATTTCAATTGAACCTATCGTGCGTTTAATTTATATTTCTAAACTAAAGTGTGGCATTTTGGTTGTTTTCCCCATAAACAGCTATGGTTATAGTTTGAAGAATTAGATGTATCCCTACAAGCAAATAAAAAAACAAATGTTAAGTATTAATAAGTGAGTCTGGAAAACAATCTACAGACAGTATTAAAGTTTCAGTACTAATTCAATACTGACTAATATAAGTTTAAGTTTATTTTCTGTACCGTCTAAAACTGTAGTCTAAGGTCTTTTTTTTAGCCACACAAGTTTTATTTTAATACATTCATGGTATTAATTTAATACTCATCTTTTATAAAAATTTTTCATACCCAATAGTTTTGAAATTCATGTAACAATAGTTTAGATTCTATGACAATTTTTTTTTGGCTACTAAAATTTAATTTTGAGAAAATTCAAACTTGACTTTGACAATGTTTAATAAAATTCCTGACTACCCTTTCAGCATTTAAGTATACATCACTTGTAACTGAAACGTATGCTAACTGCCGTTAAATGCGAATTCAAGGAAGACAACAATATCAATAAGCACACATAACCACTCACACCCACACTCACACTCACACTCACACATACGACGAAGGGGTAAACGGATGATGGGCGTTGGGGTGACGAGGATGTAGCGACAGCGGAAACGGAAATCACAACAAAGTGCTGACATGTGCCGCGGTTGGCCAAGGGGAGGGGGTGGGTGGAGTTGGGCCTATGTGGTTACCCACACACAGACACACACACAAACACACCCACACAGATATGTGTGGGTGTCAAGTTCCTTTTCACGCGCAAATTGAGTGCTTAAGCGGTTTAGTTGGCACGTCTCTCCGCCCGCGTTTTACCACCGGAAGCGGAAACTCCGCATGGGAATGTATTCGCACTCGCATTCGCATTCACACTCGGATGCTGTTTGCTATTTGCTATTTGCTGTGGCGTCGGTAAGCCGTCTTGGCATTCATCTTGCGCCTCACTTGAGACTCCCATTCAGATGGTGGAACTCCACTTTCCATATCCTGGCGTGAGATAAGCAAGTTTCGCATTCGCGTTTATAATTCATGGCGATTCAGTTGGAGAAACAAAAAATTATTATTTATTGTCAACGCTTGCAGCTTCATCTTCCGCTTGGTTTATGTGTGCCGCAGCGATAAGAAGGAGGGGCGGGGAAAATTCGGAGAAAATCAAGGGGGCGGGGTCGTACACATTTGCATACGTTTTGGCCGGAAATAAAATCGCAAACCGAACGCGTGCCAGCGACATAAAGAAAGCAGCTCGAATTGCGGGTTCTTTCACATTTGTCCATATATAGGTATAGATATATATATATAGCATACTTACAGGCAGACCGTAACAACAACAAAGATAAAGATGCTACATTGTGTGGCTATATCTTTCTCCCTTTTTCGCGCATTCGGCTCATTTGTTGTTATTTATGCTGAGCCCTAGTGGCAAATGGTATATGGAAATCCCCCCCTAGCAACCGCGGTCACATTTGCTCCTGTTTTCCTTGTTTTGCCTATGCCAACATAGAAGTAGAGCGGAAAAGCGAGTGAGACGGCAGCTGGTGTTGGGAAAATGAAAAATACTAATAATATGAAATAATAATAAACATGCTTCGGCTGGCATTTTATTGCCGCTCAATTGATATCATGAAATTATGCCTTTGATTTTTATTGCCCTGCCGGAACATATGATGTTCCCTTTAAGGATACATCTGCATATGTGTGTGTTTCTTTGCCAAGTCATGTCCTGGGATTATTTTTAAGCTACTGCCACTGCCTACATATGTGCTCGTTGTAATTGCAATTTGAATTCAATTTGCTGGCGATGGGGAAATTCGTTGGCTAGTGTAGCTTATCGTTTACGATCTAAAAAATAAGTGGGAGAGCAAGTGTCTGGGGGAGCTTTCTTGGAAACCTGATACCCAAGACTATAGAACATCTTAGTGTCTGGGGGGGTGGATTGATGCCACTGGCAACCGCAGGCCTTATTTATCTCTAACATAATACCACAAATTGGCAACAGTTTAGTTTGATCTGTTCGATTTTCTTCCTCATTGAAAAGCTGCTTCAAACGCGTGCTGCTCTGTTTTAGTTTGTTTTTTCTTAAGCTTGTGGATTCTATATATATTAAAAGCCAAAAAATATATACATTTGTAATGTTTTCTGTAACAATATTGATTTTTTTTTTTCACTCCACATCACAGAAAAAAATCTAAACAGAAAGCAAATGCTCTTTGTAAATGCCCATAATTACTCAACGGTTTCACTTTCATTCGCTGTCATTCATCCGCCGATTCGACAGAGAGTACCCAATTTACTTGAGCTACATAAGAACATTCGCATATATATAGATACCTGCGATCTAACTATTTTGACTGCGAATTGATGTCAGTGACACAGTCAAAATACAAAGCTAATGAGCATGAGTCCGAACCCAAATCCGAATTCAAGTCGAAGTTAAAGCTAAGCTTTCCGAGTGGGCTCGGCAAGTGAAATGTATGAGAAATCTTCCTGAGATGAGTGAGCATTTCGTGGAGCATCCACAACACGCTGCGCTTAGATTAGTTTAGTTTAGTTCGCTTACGATCTTGTCCGAATTAAGATCGTCTCAGCTACCGCCTTTGCTGAACCGCGAACCGCGATCGAAACAAAACAAATCTAAATAAATAAATAGTACTCGTAAGTTATGCAAGGGCAAATAAATTACAAGAATTAGCCCGAAGTGTGAAAGAAAAGAAAGTTCAAGGGGCGAAGTTGTGGAAAAGTTGCTATTCAAATATTTATCAAGAACAGCACAATCAAGATAAAGTTCAAGTGATAAGCTGCGCATAAATTTAAATATGCTAAGTGAATTGTGGCGACACATAAGCTCTACATACGGACACACACATGGGGATACACGTTAAATAATAGAGAAAGATTCTCTGTTTTTTTTTCGGCGTGGGGGCGTGGGGAAAAGCCGAATCCGGACTGAATCCAGACTGACAATAATAAACGAAATACCCGTAAGGCAAATCCGCTCTCCAGCGCTCTGACTAAACTAATTTGGCACTCACACAGGGACACAGCGATAGCCACTATATCACATTGATCCCGTCCCTAATCCGAAACAAAAACAATGAGCAGGCAACTATAGTGTTTGCCTCGGTGGGTATCTGTAGTTCTTATATTATTTCCCTGGAAATCTCTGGCAATGACTGGGCCGAGATTTACGTGCTCATCAATGTGCAAACCTGGCGCTCTAAGATAAGTCCCATCGCCCGCTGCACATCTTCCGTCTGGAGCCGGCCTTATCACACACTTTAGCTGTCTATTTTATATATTTTTAGTACCCGAAGCTCAACCCGCAAACAAATTGTAAATTTCGCAGGCGACAACAGAAGCAGCATGAGCGAAGATCAACTTTCTCAAGATTAGCTCAATGGCTCTGAGGAGTGATAACTCGGCCTGAGATAATATTTTGATACAATATTTGATACAAACTGTCGGAACGTCACTATTTTGGGCGAGAGCTTGAAGAGGTCTGTCTGGATGCGAGAGTTAAGATCCGCGGCCGCCGAACCACATCATGCCACTCGATCCGCGAACGTCCATGCGCCAGGTTGTTTTCTAGATCCCATCCCCAAGAAGCCAGCTAATTGCCCGCGAAAATTAAGAAACATTTGTGAGCAACTGTGTGCATGTGTGTTTGAGCGTCTGAGTGCCGGTGCCACAAAGCGGAAGAGACCGATGTGCCAAGTGAGATCGCGACCCAAGTAAGACCAATTAGAATGGTGCAGAGCGAGAATCCCAGCAGTCTGGGACCCGAGGAGCAGGATGTGGAGGCCAGCAGCCCAGGGGTTCGGGATGAGACCGATGTTGAGTCCAGACTACTGGACAACGGCAAGGCCAACGACAAGGAGAAGGAGGCTGGCATCAATCTGGGGGATGAGGAGCCCACTCCCAGGACAGGCAAAACCAAAAAGAAGAAACAGAAATCCGCGCAGGATCGCCTTATGACGGCGGAAATCAACAAACTGCTGGAGGAATCGCCGCTGGAGAAGAACGTGACTTGCGGCTTTTGGATATTCAAGGGAAAGTTCTACCAGCGGTATGTTAGCCAAAGCACTTGTATAACTTCGAGAGTTAAATCTTTGAGTATAAATCGATCTCAGAAAGTATTGAATAATGAGTAAACATAATGTAATCCTTTATAAACTTAATCCCCTGTAGCTTTGCCAATCAAACAGCTTATGTTCTACTCTACGGCATCGTAGGCTGTATCTTTTCGATGACGTATGCCTACTTTAATGGCACGATCACCACCATTGAGAAGCGTTTTAAGATACCCTCGAAGAACACAGGCATTATCTCGGTGGGGAATGACATTAGTCAGACTTTGGTGTCTGCAGTGCTGGCCTACTATGCGGGAAAGGGCCATCGGCCGAGATGGATTGGTTTTGGTAAGACTTGTACATTTACTGGAAAAGTTTTCCCCGTTTCTGGGACTTATAAAACTGTTTGCCTTAGGTCTTCTCACCATCGTCCTGTTCTGCGTTCTAACCACCGCACCACATTTTCTCTACGGCCCCGGGGAGGATGCACTGGCTCTGACCTCGGAGTTTGGCGGAATGCCCGATGAGAATGCCACCATGGAGGCCATCGAGGAGCAGCGATCGAAGACCCTTTGCCGCTTGAATGGAGGCGGAGCGGAGTGCGAGGTCGGCGAAGGGAACTTCGCACCACAACTGCTGCTCTTTGTGGCGCAGTTTATATCTGGAATTGGAGGATCCCTGTACTACACTTTGGGTGTATCCTACATGGACGATAACACTAAAAAGTCCAAGACTCCTGCTTTGCTAAGTGAGTAAACCGGTTCTAGCCAACCTTAACTGTAAAACTGTAGAATATGTTAATCTCTTGCCTTGAACCTCTGTGTGTTTAGTGTGATAAGTTAACACAACCAAAACTGGAAAAGTGGCTTTTTCACGCTGATTCAGCTTCAATTTGTTTGAGCGCAAAAGGAAGCTCCTTATCCGAAAGTTTGGGTATTACAATAATATACTAGCCTAAAAAGTTGGCATCTATAAAATACTTTAAGCTTGCTGAAAAAATAAAAATTATCTCAACTTCAAAAAAATTATGAAAGCAATGCATAGAATACAAATACTTAAAGGGTGAAGGTCAAAGAATATTTAGTAGTAAACTATTGTTCGTTATATATTATCATTACACATAAATCCACATTCTGAAACAAAAATAATATAAAATTCAGAAAATTGGTTTATGTGTAATGAGTTTCTGGCGATTTAACATATAAATATTATATCGAGTGCTCCGACTTTTTTAATAGGTACCTAGCTCAAAAGCGTAAGCAAACATTTTAATCCAATCCACGTAAAAATTGTTAATTTAAAATGGCTTAATCGCTGTTAGTCAAGAAAATTTATACAGTAAATTTGATGGAAAAAGATTTATTCTCTCTGTTAAATATTTTTGCCCCATTTCTAAACAAGTGATGGGTTTGCAAGTTGCAGTTGATATACATTTTTGACTTCAATACTTTGTTGTTTAATGTCAGATAATAGTGAGTTATCTCTTCTAAATATTTTATAAGCAGCTAGACAAACTAATCGCTCACTGTTTGTAATTTTAGCTTAAAAGATATGCTTATCTCTAGTAAGATAACCAAAACTGCAACGTGTGGCATTAATTGAACCCCATACTAAGATAAATTAAAATTTATAGAATAATCTTCTCTACGTAAGTTGCTAAATGTAAGTTTATTGTCCATTTTTAAGGTCTCTCGTATTTCCTGCGCATGTTGGGTCCTGCCATCGGCTATGCTTTGGCATCCTTCTGCCTGCGGCTATACATTGCACCGCAGATGCATCCGGTGATCAACAACAAGGATCCTCGCTGGCTGGGTGCCTGGTGGTTGGGCTGGCTGGTGATGGGCGGTCTGCTCTCCTTCTCCGGCGTATTCCTCTCCATGTTTCCCAAGGAATTGCCCAGAGCAGTGGCCCGCCGGAAGGTGGAGGAGAACCGTCGGCGTGAAAGGGAGCGACTGTCGTTAAAGAATACGGAGAGGGAGCGCCTGACTGCCGAACTGGAGCAGAAGGCACCGATGGAGGCGAAAGCCTCCTTCCAGGACATGCTGAAGACCTTCCGCCGCCTGATCACCAACAAGACGTACATGTGCAACACCCTGTCGAGCATTTTCTACCTGGTGGGCTACACACCCTACTGGATATTCACGCCCAAGTACATCGAGGTGCAGTACCGCCAGTCGGCGGCCACTTCCTCCATGGTTACCGGAACCGTGGCCCTGGCCTTCTCCGCCGTGGGAGTGCTGCTGTCCGGCTTCATCATCTCGCGCTATAAGCCAAGGGCTAGGTATATGGCCGCTTGGAACGTGATTGTGGGCTTCCTCACGGTGGCCGGAATTCTGGCCTACGCTTTCATCGGCTGCCCGGGAAATGAGAGTTCGGTGATAGTCAATATTCACGATAGCTCCCTGGCGGGCAACACCACCACCTGCAATTCGGCCTGCTCCTGCGACTACGTCCGGTACTCTCCAGTTTGTGGAGAAAACAAAATGACCTACATCTCCGCCTGCCATGCGGGATGCAAAAGTTTGCACGTCAATTCGGAGGGCAAAAAGGTAAGTGCAATTACAAAAAAAATGTAATCTTTATTTATAACTACAACAGTCTGGAAAAAATGGGGAGTTTGTCGAAATGACATAGCATCTTTGAGGTTTGCTTTTTACATTAGTAATTGTATTTAAGAGTTGATGTTATCTATGCCTCTAGTTTAACTGAAATTAAAGTTATGGATTTATAGATATCTGAACACAGTTTTGTAGATAAATGTTTTAAACCGTACTGGAAAAAAAAAGTTTGTGGAAAACATAGTATGTCTTAAGTATCTATATTTAAGGGTTTTTGTAATCTTTGGTTTGAAATTATATTTATGGCTTTCAAGAAATCTGAATATAGTTTAGTAGTTCTAACCAAATGCTGAGGACATAATATATTTTAGTTTTGTTTACATCTAGTGTCGATAGCGAAAGAAATTGTATTTAGGGTTATTGGAAATCAAGGTGTTTCATTTAAAAACAAGAAAGGAAGCAAATTTCGGCAAGTCTAAGTTTATTTACCCCTGCAGCTATTGCAAAAAACAAAGCAAATTTTAAACATCTTAATTTCGAATTATATGAGTATCTATTAAATTCCATTCCAAGCTATTATAATCTTCACCCCAATTATTTGATCGTTCCTATGGCAGCCATATGATATCAATTTTCGATTTGAATAAAATTAAGAGCGTAGTTCTGAGTTTTAAAACCATTTATATGTTCAAAAGAATTACAAAAAAACATTTAAACTTAGAAAAGTTAAAAATTATTACAATACCATGGGAGTTATATAATATAATCGTCCGATTTTGATTATATTTAAACAAAATATTGAAGAACTATAAAAAAAAGAAAGAACAGCAAAGTTATAATTTATAATTAATTAAAAGTTATCATTTTTTACCCGAGTGTTCTTATAGGAGCTATATGCTATAGTCGCCCGATCCGGCTCGTTCCGTTGCTGATAGTTTCCATGGCTAGATCGAATTCTCTAGTGATCCATGAACAAGAATATATATGCTTTATAGGGTCGGAAATGTCTCCTTTACTGCGTTGCTAACATCTGACTGAAATTATAATACTTTCTGCGTGTAGTACTACTATAATAACTACTACTTTTCTCGAATTCTCTTAGATCTTCTATGATTGTTCCTGCATTCCGGGCAACGAGAGCGGCAATTCCACCGGCCAATTCAAGCGCCTTACTAGCTCCGATTTGAGCAGCGATAACTTCAGAGAGGACACATCGGCTTTAACTCAATTGGAGGTAAACTATTTACCCATACTACTTTACACCATTGAGGCCTTAGAACTTAGGTTCGACTTATTTTGATAGGAGCTAGCGAAGGGGCAGGCGATGCCCGGAGCCTGTCCTGTGAACTGTTGGACGCAATTCGTGGCCTTTTTGGCCGTAATGTGCTGCCTGAAGTTCGTGGGGGCTAGCGGCAGAGCCTCCAATTTCCTGGTCTCCGTGCGTTGTGTTCCGGAAAAGGACAAGACGGCAGCCATGGGCTTTGGCATGACCATGTGCTCGATGCTGGCCTTCATTCCCAGTCCGATTTTCTTCGGTTGGGTCTTCGACAGGGTCTGCCTGGTGTGGGGCAAGACCTGCACAAATAAGGGAAACTGCTGGCTCTACGATCCGCTCTCCATGAGGTGAGTCCTTTCACAAAGTCATTGAATATTTAATATTACAATATTCGATAATTCCCATTTTAGATACACCCTGAATTTCACCGCAGCCGTCTTTATTGCCATTGGAGCCATTTTTGATCTGGGGGTGTGGTACTACGCCAAGGACCTGCAAATCTTCGACGAGGACGTTAAGGAGGTGGAGATGAAGATTGTGCAGCTCGAGGAGGAGGCCAACAACGAGAAGAATACAGAGATCTAGACATAAGTTATTTTTACCCATAAGTGCTGTGTCAAGCGAGAGAGAGTTTTGGTGCCTTGACTTGTCAATATCCATGTGTGATTTCCCCCGTAGAGTCCAGTACCATAATAAACGGTATTGTAACAGTAAGGTTGCCCCACTGTATATACTCGTATGGTAATTGCTGACAATTAAAGACCAGATCCCGATTAGAAAGATAAATCTCACACGGACTAAGCTATAAAAATGAAGGTCGTTATCTAGTTATCTCGCAGCTTTTTTTTGTTTACCCCCATGCCGCAAGTCGATTGTAACCAGCTCCTGACTAGGGGGTTCAGTGTTTCGAAGCAGTTCGACAGTGAAGGATCGACATGGCCAGTGAAGAGATCGAAACCTCCAGGTTTTTGAAGGATAAAGAAGCCGGGAGAAATGCAAATGAGAGGCAGGAGGAACAGGAATCATCGGATACGTTCTGTGGTCTCTCTGTATTCAAGGGACCCGCTTTACAGAGGTAGATAGTTCTGCTCTGGCCAAATTGTTCGATAACACTATCCTGATCTCCAGATTTGCCACTGCGCATATGTTTGTGATCATGTACGGCATAGCTAGCTGCTTTCTGGCCATGGCCTTTACCTACTTCACTGGAACGATTACGACGATGGAGAAGCGCTTCAATATACCCACCAAGATATCGGGTCTCATAACGGTGGGCAATGATATAAGCACTGTTTTCTCGTCGGCCTTTTTGAGCTACTATGCCAGTAGAGGTCATCGCCCGCGTTGGGTTGCCTTGGGTAATGTGCCTTAAGTAGAATCCCCTCGCTTGGTCAATAGTTTGTGTTTTGTAGGCCTCATCATAATAGCCCTTTTCTGCCTGCTCATGTTGACCCCGCACTTTTTCTACGGAGCCGGCGAAGAGGCACTGAGACTGACCGAGGAGTACATACTGAAGGAATCCGTTGACACTTCAGTCAATGCCACGGATAACAATGACGCTCTGTGCCATGCAAAGGACTCGAACTGTGTGGAGGGTGCTGGCGACTACACGCCCATCGTGCTGTTCTTCATCGCCCAGTTTATTGGGGGCATTGGTTGTTCCCTTTTCTACGCTCCGGGTCTCTCCTACATGGACGATAACTCTGCGAGTTCCAAGACGCCAGCTATGCTTAGTATGGTTTGAAACAAGTTGTCTAATCTAAATTATATTAATTGATAGTATACTTCCCAAAGGTTGGACCACCTTTCTGAGGATGCTGGGTCCTGCAATGGGTTTCTCCATGGTCTCCTTGTGTCTCCGGCTTTACATCGATCCCTTCAAGACGCCTCTGATTACCACAAAGGACCCACGCTGGATGGGAGCCTGGTGGCTGGGCTGGATTCTGATCACCTTTATCCTGCTGATATCGGCATTCTTTGTGGCCATGTTTCCCAAGGAGATGCCCAGTGCCAAGGCAAGACGTTTAAGAGCCGAAGGCGAGGAGGATGTCCCACTGGCGAAGCGTTCCTTTCAGGATATGCTAGACTCGCTGAAACGTCTTGCGGGCAACAAGGTGTATGTCTACAACATGCTGGCCTCGATACTCTACTTCTTCGGCTACATGCCCTACTGGATATTCACCCCGAAGTACATAGAGATTCAGTACCGTCAGTCGGCTTCGACTGCCACCATGGCCACGGGAACCTGGGCGCTGGGCTTCTCCGCCGCAGGTGTACTGATCTCTGGATATGTGATCTCCAAGTACAAGCCGAGTGCCAGGGCGATGGCTGCCTGGAACTTTGTGGTGGACTACCTCACGGTGGCCGGCATCCTTTGCTACATCCTGGTGGGATGTGACGAGAGCGATCGGGCCAACTCACTGTCCATTCTGCCAATCGGCGACAGTTGCAGTGCCTCGTGTGACTGTGAGTATGTGTACTATGCTCCGGTTTGCAGTCCGGAAAACATCACCTACATATCCGCCTGCCATGCGGGATGCACCGAAAAGGGTCTGGATGATCTGGGAAGAATCATTTACACAGGCTGTCTGTGCATGGACAGGTCCCCCAACCTGACCACTTTGTCGAGTGTCACATCACTGGCCGCCTTCCAGTCGGAGATCGCCGTGGACGGAGCCTGTCCGGTGGATTGCAACAAACAGTTTCTTATCTTCTTGGCCGTCATGTGCTTCCTGAAGTTCGTGGGGGCTACTGGGCGATCGAGCAACCTGCTTTTGGCCCTGCGATGCGTTCCCTCGAGGGACAAGACCTTTTCCCTGGGCTTTGGCAGTATGGTCTACTCCGTGCTGACCTTCATTCCTAGCCCCATTGTCTTTGGCTGGATGCTGGACAGCTATTGTCTGGTGTGGGGCAAGACATGTAGCTCGAAGGGTAACTGCTGGATATACGACACGAAGTCCTTGAGGTGAGTAGTTGCTTTTAGCATAAAATAAAACTTAAATTTAACTTTTTCCTTTCACCTTTCCTTTAGGTACACAATGAACCTTGTGTGTGCGTCTTTAATTTTTCTTGGTAGTTTTTGGAATATTGGCGTCTGGTATCATGCCAAGGACATGAAAGTCTTCGATGAAGAGGAAGCCGTCAAGCCGAACAATCAGGAAGATGTAATAGAGCTTAAGGAAAAACAAAAAGAAATGGTTCCCACATGAATTTTAAGTTAATTGTAAGAAAACTGTATTCTGCCTGTAATTTCCGAAATGCCAATTATAATCTGTAAAACCAAAAGCTGTGTGTATAAGTTCAAGTGTTTAAAATTTTATTGGTCCCATGAAAAAATACAAATAGAGTTTAATCTAACAACTCAGGTAATGTGGGTTGCTTGTTTTTTGGATTAAAATTCACAGAAGAGACTTATATAAGCCATCATAAATAAGTGAAGATCCTATTTTTTGCACTTTGATAAGTAAATTTGTATCTGAAGAAGACGTGGCCTAACAATGATGGAAGAGGTGTGCCAGAATTTCACACATTTCCGAAACAGATGCGAAATCGTGATAAGGGAGTCCCGTCAATTAACATAGCTGCTCTTAAAATTACATCTTATACATGGTTGATAAATGTCGCCTGTCTGATCCCCACTGTCTTATCTGACTGCTTTGATAAGATGCAGTTGGCTATATGGTGGGGCGACCTGGGTTAGAAAGAATCAGTTCAGTCGCGGTGTTTGAAGATAAAAGTTGAAACATGGCAGAAGAACGAAAGCCGGAAGCCCCACAGCCGAGTGAAATGTTGCCCTTTATCGAGAGATCATTATACAACCCGGAAGAGGTAGAGGATTACTCGGAAGATGAAACGGAAGAGGAAGTAGATAGTAAGGACACGGCCTGTGGTTTCTGGGTATTCAGGGGTCCCTCCATACAAAGGTGAATAGTAAAGAACTTTCCCAAAATCTTTCACCTAAATGATTTCATTGCAGATTTGCCACTGAGAATATGTATGTGATTCTCTATGGGTTGGCTGGCTGTGTGATGGCAATGACCTTCGCCTACTTTAATGCCACTATTACGACCTTGGAGAAGCGCTATAAGATACCAACAAAGACTAGTGGCATAATCTCGGTGGGAAACGATATCAGTACCATGCTAACAGCCGCCCTCCTGGGTTATTATGCGGGAAATGGGCATCGACCCCGCTGGATGGGAATAGGTGAGCGAAGATCTGAATACTGATTTACCAATTACCAGACATACAGTTTCCCATTTAGGCCTACTGACCATTGTGGCTTTTTGCCTACTCACAAGCTCCCTGCATTTTCTTTACGGAGCTGGCGAAGATGCCCTTAAGTTAACCCGGGAGTTTGGTCAGGTCAATGAAACATTGGCTCGGCAAGAGAAGGACCAGAAATTGTGTCACTCAAGTCCAGGGGGATGTGTCCAGGATGTGGGCCAGTGGGTGCCCCAAGTGTTTCTGTTCGTGGCTCAACTCATATCGGGTGTGGGTCAGGCCCTTTTCTATACTCTGGGCATTGCCTATATGGACGACAATGGCACCAAGTCCAAAACACCTGCCATGCTGAGTAAGTATTGTAAATTATTATATTTCCAGAGAAAGTTTTCAGTTTTTTCATCTACCAGGCATGTCCACATTCTTGAGGATGCTTGGCCCAGCTATTGGCTATTCCTTGGGTGCCCTGTGCCTGCGTTTGTATATTGAGCCCAACTTGGAACCCCTGATTGGGCGTGAGGATCCCCGCTGGTTGGGCGCCTGGTGGCTGGGATGGTTAGTACTGGCTGCAATTACCTTGATCGCTGCAATATGCCTGTTCATGTTTCCCAAAGAACTGCCCAGTTCACGGAGGAGACGTCTGAAACTGAGGCAGACGGAAAGAAAGATGTCACTGCCCCTTAAAGAGTGCTCCTTTGGGGACATGATGAAGACTGTCAGGAGATTGGCGAGGAACAAGGTCTATGTGTACAACACCTCGGCCTCCATCCTATATTTTTTCGGTTACATGGCCTATTGGATATTCACGCCAAAGTATATCGAAACCCAGTACAGACAATCGGCGGCCACGGCGACCATGGCCACGGGTACAGTGGCCCTCGGATTCTCCGCCGCCGGAGTCCTAATCTCCGGCTACGTGATCTCAAAATATAAGCCGAGCGCCAGGTCAATGGCCTGCTGGAATGCCATAGTGGACTTCGTAACGGTGGCCGGAATCCTGTGCTATGTGGCCATAGGATGTGAAGGCAGTGACAGGTTGAACTCCCTGACCACCTTGTCCGCTGGAAACAGTTGCAGTGCCGCCTGTCACTGCGACTACGTGCACTATGCTCCGGTTTGCAGTCCGGAGAACGTCACCTTTATATCAGCCTGCCATGCCGGGTGCTCGGAAAGGACGAAAGATGTCCTTGGAAGGACCATTTACACCGGCTGCCAGTGCATGGGCTCATCGGGTTTGATCTCCGACCCTGAGGTGAAAGACCAAAATCTCTAAATAGCTTTCTTACTTATGATTCTGCCATTTTCAGACCCAATTCGCTGTGGATGGAACCTGTCCGGTAGACTGCTTTAATGAGTTCCTGGCTTTCCTAGGCGTCATGTGCTTCCTGAAACTCATGGGAGCATCTAGTAAATCCACGAACCTGCTCATCGCCCTTCGCTGTATTCCTCCAGAAGACAAAACCTTCGCTTTGGGACTAGGTTCCATGGTTGCTTCCCTACTCGGTTTCATTCCCAGTCCAATTTTCTTCGGCTGGCTGATAGACAACTATTGTTTGGTGTGGGGCAAGACCTGTTCCAGCAAGGGAAACTGTTGGCTCTACGACACGGCATCCTTGCGGTGGGAAAACCTAAAGATTTTATTTCAAACTTTATCCATCGATATCTTTTGCTTTCCAGATACGCTTTAAATCTCACGGCTGCTTCCTTTATATTTTTGGGAGGCTTTCTAAATATTGCCGTTTGGTATCATGCCAAGAATCTCAAGATATTTGATGAAGAGGAAACGCCAACAGACAGTTCGCAAAATGAGGAAGTTGAAATGGAAACATTGGATTGCAAATCTGAACAAAAATAAAAACAGTACCTATTTTTTAGTTATTTAGATAAATAAACTAGCTATGATTGAAGCTTCAGTTTTTTGACTGCTTCATAGCATTTCCAAATTGTTCGTCTTCCTGTTGACACTGCTTTTTTTTTTGGCCTCACAATGTCCGCTCCGGAGAGCAGTTGTCGGCGCGTGATCCTCAAAAATTGGGTCGATGGTCCATGCCGGAAGTGCTACGAATCCTCCTGCGGACCGTGCATCGACTACAAAGTAACATCGCCTTCGGGAAGCGTAGTCGAGCCGCAGGCAAATGTCATACAGGCCACTATCGAGCCGGACGGACCCGTGCGGCCAGAGATCAACATCCGGGCGGAGTGCAGCAAGGGTCGTCCGCTCCTGGAGTCCGACAAGGATAAGCTGAGGTGCTGCACCATGTGCGTGGCCCAGGAGCAGAACATCCAGCCCAATCTCTGCTCGGCGGCGTGCAGACCCCTGCACACCAATTTGCACCTGAGTGAGGTACGTTTAATCATAACAAATTAAAATTTGGCAAATCAAAACCACAACTCTAAATGTTTTTAAAAGAAACAGACTGAGTTAAGGCCATAGTTTTTTTAGTTACTTAAAGATTGAACTCATTTGATTGATGGCCGATTTATAGATTTATATTTAGATAAATAGATCAACTCAACCAAAAACATCCTTCTCCACAGTGGACCAAGCGACCCCTGCCAAAACCCACCTACAAGCATTCGGTTATCCTGGACAATAACACCATGGTGGGTCGGTGCTTTCCGATTAAGTTCCAGCTGAAACGCATGAAGAACAAGTGCCTGGATTGCGGCAAGGATCTCTACTTCCGGTATCCGATTACAAGCACTAGCGACCTGCTGCTGATAAAAAACTGTTGCGATGTTGAAGTCTATCCCGCCATGAAGGTGGAGAATATGAACAATGTGAGAGTGACCAAGATATCGGGGGTCAAGAAGTTTGCCAACAGTCTGCTGAAGGAGCGCTCCGAGTGCCGACTGTTCAGCCTGGCCGCCCAGCAAGAACCGTCGTTGGATGTGACCAGCAGAATGAGCACTAGAAAGAGCAGGAAGAGTACCAGAAAAAGCAGGAAGAGCAACAGGAAGAGCCGGAAGAGTACCAGGGCCAGCAGGAAAAGCAGGAAGAGCAGTAAGAAATGAAATTAAACATAAAAAAAAATAAGTACCCATTTGAAAAAGCCAAGAAACCTGAATAAAATTAACAGCTTTAACTTCAATATATTAGCTCATTGCATTGATCGACTTAAAAATAATCAAAACCTGATAAGGAGATTTATAAGAATTTTGATAGCATGGTTTAAAGTTGCTTGGACTTCCAAAGGTTGGGAGGTGCCAAAACAAAGTGGCCCAATTGCTGACATGATTCCAGCCAAATGAGTAGCAGAAACAAAAAAAAATTCAAAAAGTTTATTTCAGTTGAAAGTATTTCCTATACAATGACCAACAAGCTTTAAAAAACATCAACCACATATTTTGTATGCCAAACTTATCAGTGCAAGGCAATGACAATGATTTTAAGGCATTGCAAGTAAATACATTCAAGAACACTCAGTATCAATTTGAAGTCGATCGGCCAATTTATCATCGAGTTACGATATCAGCAATTTTGGAAAATGTTGTTTCGAGAAAAACGCGTTTAAGTGTTAAGTAATCAATACCGAGTGGTCGTTCTTTAGAACGCTGCCATTCCAAAACTTTTCAAGATTCAAACTGGGCAAAACTTATTAAAACCCAAATAAAACATTCTTAATATTAAAATTAAAAAAAAAAAAGTTCAATAAGATGAGTTAAAGTCAAACCGCAATTAACACTCAAACTTGAGTGAAAGCTTAGCTCCACATAGCTCTAACCAAAGTTTGCTCGAGCTTTTCCTCAGCTTTTAGTACAAAGCTCGCTTTGCAAACTTGCAGCCCACAGTCCAAAAATCAGTTGTTTTGTGTAGTTGTATATCTAGTGTAAATTTAATTCAAATTCAGTCGCATAAGCATAAATACATAGCGTAATCCTAGAATATAATTTATGATTCAGCTTACAACGTTAATCGAGAATCAAGTGAGAATCGAAGGGAGCGCGATCAGGGGACGGGGAATACCTAGTTTCGTTATATTTAAAGACTTCTTTCGTTCGATTGATGTGCTGCGGGGTTAGTAACGAGATTACGAATACTTGATGCTGTTAACGCGCCTGCTGCTCAACCCTGGGCTAGGTTAATACGAGATTTAAAGCTTAGGGTCTAGCCGAAAAACCGATCTCTATACGCGGTCATTGATCTATGTATAATTGCTTGACTTGCGGCGCTATAAATTTAGAATTGTTTCTGCATTTCGTCGGGTCATTTGGGCTAGTTTTTGGAAAACTGTTGGAACACTTGGCCACTGAAATGCGTCTGGTTTGTCAGTTGCTAGATTTATAGTTAGAGTTATGGTATAGCTATAGCTATCGCTATCGCTAGGTCTATAGCTACTATCGTTAACGTTCTGCGCAAGGCGTTGTATTGCAGTTACACCGATCATTTTGAGTGATTTCAAAGGTCACAACTATTATTATTATTATTTTACTTCAAGTAGTCGACTATGCCCTATGGTATGTACTCTAGCCTATATGCACTTGATTATTTGTTTAATTTTAAAATTAGCTACACGTCGTTAGGCCTACTGCTAGATGGATACAAGTAAGTGTGTGTGTGTGTGTATAATTTAATTTAAATAAGCGTCTATATACTGTCGTGTCGTTCGCGTCGCGTCTCGTCTCATTATTTCGTTCAGAGTTATTTGTGCTAAACGGAACAAGCTGCCTGTTCTGGGGGGTCCTGGAAGCGTTCAATTTGCCTATGCATCCAATGGGAAAAAGTCTTTGAGTAGGGTGGTGCGCCGCTTTTCAGCGATGTCCATTTGATTCTCGAGATCACCCAGGTCTGTTGTCTCGGCACGCTCAATCTTCCACGACAGGTTCTCGATCTCGGCCTCCAGTTGCGCCTGCAATGGGAATTTCAGTTATTTTTAGGCAATTGTCCAATGACCAAATTCAACGAATCTTACCTGCTGATACTCAAAGAGATTCTTTCGCGAACCGGCCTCCATGTAGTAGGCATACGGATAGGTGTACTGCAGCGTGTATCGGCACTTGGCCAGCAGTGCCGCCGCGTTGAAGAGATACTGCCAGTCGATCCAGGTGCCGCTGCCGTTCATCACCTTGGAGTTGATGCGCTGGCGCAGCCGGTCGATCGTCTGCTGTTCGAGTTTCAGCGACTTGGAGTGGTTCTCCCAGCGCTCGTAGTAGTGCAGGTACTTCTTCAGCGCCTCGCGGGCCTGCACGTGCACCGACTCGTTGGCAATATTGGGGTTGTCCTTGTAGCGGGAGCACTCGTAGTACTCGGAGCCGTGCGTCTTCCAGTCGCCCAGGCACATCCAGCAGAAGTCGTGCTTACAGTTGAAGCACTGCATGTGATTGCAGCCGCCGTTCTTCTCGATGCAGATGTGACACTTGGGGCAGTCTTTGGTGTGGGCGCTGATGTAGTTGGCCGTCTCGCTGTCATCGGCGCACTTGGTCAGCCACTTCTTGATCACCTGGCAGTCGGTGGGCGCATGGTAGTCCATGCCGCACCGGAAGCAGAAGCCCGTGTGGCAAGCCTTGCAGATGGCACGTTTGGCGGAGATCTCCGATGATTGCACGATTATCTGACAGTTGGGCCCCGGGCAGAAGCGCAGCTCTGGGTGCGACTTGACGTAGTCCTTGAACGCAAACTGCTGGTACTTGTCCCGCATCACCGGTCTTGTGACCAGTGTCAGCACCAGATCCTCGGGCACCCGTACATTGCACATCTGGGCCATGCAACCGATCTGCGTGGAGATTCCCTGGAAGATCTGTGTCTCGAAGTATATGGTCCAGCAGTCCTTGCAGAACGAGTGTCCGCAGGCCAGGCTGTAGAACTTGTCACCCAGTTGGGAGCTGGCGCACACCGGACACATCTGGCTGCGGTACTGCGGCGCCGTCGATGACGTCGACGTCTTATATCCGCTGCTCCCCAGTCGCAGCAGTTGGGCACTGGCCGCCGCTGCCGCTGCACTCGTCGAGGCGGTATCCGCTATCGCCACCTGCGGCGGCTTAATGCGTGCCGTGACCAACAGCGCATTGGCGTCCTGACGGTACTTCTCCACCACGACCACGTTGTTCCACTGGTGCTCCAGCAGCAGCACCTTGGCCAGCGAGGGCGTGATCTGCAGGATGGTGTTCAGCTTCTCCACGCGCTCGTTTAGCAGCTTCTCGATGTCCTCAACAGTGAGGCAGTCGAACTCAAAGTACTCGGGATCGGCCCGCTTCGGATCCAGGCGCTCCACATCGCAGTCTTCACCTGAAAGGAGATAGGATATGAATAAGTAAACGTTTCTTAGTGAAGGTGGTAAGTTGTAAATGAGGTTTGCAGTCAGTGCCTTTTCATTTACTTGGAAATACTTACGATAAGAGTACAAATTCTAACGAAGATATTGAGAAGGACATTTTGGAATACTTAAAACTAGTGCTTGAGCTTACGAAAAGGGTTCTAATATCTTTACTTGTTGAATTAAAATCGTACTTCTGACATAGTAAACCATTAATATAATAGTTACAGAAATAACTAATTTTCATTTCCTTCGCTGCGTATCAATCATTTGGTTAAAATTATAACACCCTCAGTAGGAGTATAACATGGTTTGGTTTGTAACAAACCTTTTATAACCATTTGAGTTACGTAAAATTGGATATTTATAATCCTCTTTTTTACGTAACTGGTAGAGTTTAAGTGATTTCGGGTTAATAGCAAACTTAGTTGGATAAAACGTTTCTAACTGAAGTCAATTATAAGCCAAAACTGCACAATCCGGAAATATTCAATTAATTTACCTCCTGTGATTTATTAGGATAATAACAATTTACTTTTTCTGTAACTGACAATCATTTTGGCATTTTGTAAGCCATAAACTTTGGCTTATTCACGAATATAGCCACCCGACAAGGCTGCCATAGAAGTGCCCGATGTTACGGGTATCTGATTGAAGGTTGCTTTACGGGGCGTTTTGGCCAGGTCGAAACAATAAGGGACAGGTCAAGAAGCGAAGCCCGAATTGACGGAAGAGCGGGCACAAAACAAAATGCAACTGCGTACTCGAGCACGCACCTGAGTTGGTGTTGGTGTGTGTGTGCATGTGTATGTGCATGTGTGGGTGTGGAGCTACGAAGAGCGTGAGAAGAATGGCAGCCAATAATGAAGCTAGCCACAAAACACAAACCTCGCAATCAGTCGCCACTCGCAACTACAAATCGTACTTGCCCATGCACAGAGAGAAATAAAAAAAAATTTAAAAATTAGTTGTAAACAAAGTAAATTTGGAAAAATAAAAATTGAAGTGGTATCATCTGACGCTTAATTAAATGGACTAATTAAACTAATTAATTTTAAGGTATTTTTTCTCTCGATTCCCAAGATTGATTATGATTTTAATTTCTTTTAAGGGAATTGTGCACTTCCAAAATCCAGCTTCCACTAACAATTTGTCACAAAAAATTTAAAATATAAGACTGTTTGATTTTCAGATTTTGAGCTTAAACTTATAAAACTAAATTAAATGAATTTGAGTTACATGATGTAAACAATTTGACCGACTAAATCATGTATTTATTGAAAGTACATATTTAAAGACATACTATTAAGCCTTAATTTAAGCCCTTTTAGTGATTTTCTTGAATAAACTATTATTTTTCTCTCCGTGCAGCTAAGTCCGTGTGTGTTGGTTTCAAGTTCAATTCCATAATTTTAGCTTCATGGTCAGCAAAGAAAAGGCGGGGATTGCAGAGGGGGCGGGGCAAGGGGGGTTTCGGTAGTGGAACCCAAGGCGAATGTCAAGTGCTGAATGCAAATTCTCGGGTCTTATGGGCCCTGGGCCTCCCAAAAAGGTGAATAACCAACCCAGGCCAATCGTTTGCGTGTGTGTGTGTGTACTTCCTCTCAGATACACTCGTACCCCTATTTAGTCTCAGTTAAATCGATGGCTGATTGTTGTCAGGAGGAAACCCTTTAAGTAGTCCCATTCTTACCTGTATTATAGTAATCGTAGTCGTCGTCGTATTCCCCATCGTTGTCCGATTCCAGATCCATTTCGATATCAGAGTCCATCTTAAGGGATTTGGATTACAATTACGGTTGAGATTGTGATTGGGATTGGGATGTTGGAAATTATTTCGAGGACACTCGGTGTATGTGTGTGTGTTTGTGTGGTGCGGGGTGTCTCTCTTTCGCTTTTGTAACAGTTGTTGTAAGGGCGCTGGTGGTTGATGTTGTTGTATGCCCAGGAAAAGGAGGTGGATGAAGAACGAACAGGGGCCGGGGGGATGGTGGCCGATTTAGTGCGATGCAGTTCCACCTATTCTCAGGCGGATGATGAACTTTGCGGGGTGGCAATTCGGCGGGGAGCGGTCCCTTGTTTTATTTTCGTTTATCCACATGTATACGCATACACACACGCGCGCTCTCGCTCTCACACACGCACACACTCGCAGCCGTTGCACTTAAATGCAGTTTATTTTCATCCTCTCGTATTTATAGACCCACTATTTTAGGCCCACTGGCAATGCAAAAAGTGCAGATCGCGAGGGCCAGTTGTCACTAACTTTTTGGCTATTGAACGAGCACAGCTTTTACAGAGAACATTTTGTTTCTTTGTCTTTCTGTTTCTCTGCAATCTAGAGCTGCACGGCTATCGATGGGCCCTATCGATAGGCAGGGCCAGCAGCTATCGGTTCCAATCAGAACACTGCTAGGTGCGAGTGTTTTTTCCAACACTAGTCTATAAAATAAAATAAATAAATGGTATAATTTCTTTTATTGCACATTCCGAAAATCCTCAATTCCAAAAAGATTTAATTTTACTCATAAAAAAAGTGCAGACCTATATCACAGCTGATACATCAGTATACCGATAGTAGTCTTTGTAAATCAGCTGTGATAAGGGTCTGCACTTATTTTTACTTTTACAGTTCGCAATAGTGTTGGAAAGTCTTTGGTTTTGACAAGCAGCTGTTCGAATTGAGCGCCTTTATTTAAATTTGAATTTTATCGTAATTATTACTTTTCTGATTGTTTCTTCTGCTTTCCTGAGCCGCCCACGGTTTCTTGAGGTTTCTTATCACTTTTCTGGCCCGGTTTGACTTCGATGCTCAAAAGCTCCAGAATAGGAGCCAAGCTGGGCAAAAATGTATCTGGAACAAGTTTCATCTTTTTCTCGTTACCCTCTTTTTTTATATTTTCCGCTTCTTCTAAAGCTCCATTGTCTTGGCCCACCAGTAATGAATGAAAACCACAGATATTGGCAAATGCAATGTCCGCCCTTAACCTGAAAATAATACATTTTTTTTTATACGTTACTCGTAGAATACAAGGGTATATTGTAACTGTTGAAAAGTATATAACTGGTTTCCGACCCTATAAAGTATATATACTCTTGACCAGGATCTATAGCCGAGTCGATCTATTCGTGTCCATCTACCTGTACAAATAAACTGCGAGATCTCGGAAACTTTAAAAGCTTGAGATTTAGGATTAAAAATGCGGTTGTGCATGGCCGTCCACGTAGTGACCACGATCACTGGGCAAATTTTTTTAAATATTGGAACTGTTGGGGCCGGTGGAGCAAAAAGTCTGACAATTTCAAAGAAGTTAAATAAAAAAAGTTAATTTTTTGGTAAAATAAATATTAATCGTCAAAAAATTTGATAACAGAAATTTTTGGAGCTTATGGTGCGACAGTCACTTTATTCTTACCCCGTCAAGAGGTATTTTGTTTGTTTATATAATAATGAAAAAGTAGCATTTTATAAAGCCAAAAATCTTGAGTTTTATCGATGCTTCAAGAGTAATGAATACGATAAAAACTTAAGCGTGATGGTTTTCTACAATATAAATATTCCCACAACAGCGACAAAAACTCAACTTACGAGCTTCCAATGACGAGCGTTCTTTCCGGCTTAATTTCGCCGGACTCGAGCAGTTTGCCCAAGATTCGGGGATTAGGTTTGCCCAAGACGGTTGGCATGCGATTCACAATCACCTGGATGGCTGCTGCTACGGTGCCGGCGTCCGGAATTCTCCGCTTGCCAAATGCCAGGAACGCATCCGTACAAGTAGTCAGAAACAATACTTTGGGGTCTTGCAGGTAGTTGCAGGCCACGATCAATTGGTTGGACCTCAAGGAGTCGTTTCTGCCCACCAGAACAGCACCCACGTCCGGATCGAGTACCAGGTTCATGACGAAGTCAAATCTGTTCCGGCCATCAGGCCGTTGATCGACAACCACGGAGCAGAAGCCAGCTTTTTGCAGCTCCTTGCAAATGCCATTGCCACCCAAAACAAGTACCTTCTTCTTGAACTTTCTATCGGTAAGATAGCTCGATATGGAACCCGCCGAACTGAGTATGTCCTGGTCCTGAGCTTTGAAGCCCATGCACTTGGCCTTTTGGATCAAATCCGATGATGTTAGGCAGCAGTCGTTGGTCACCATCAAACATCTCTTTCCTTTGGCCGTAAAGGCATTAAAAGCCTCCATGGACCCATCGATAGGATTGTTTTCCTGCCACAGAACCCCATCAGTGCCGCAGATTATGGTGTCAATCCCGCTTAGCCACTCGGCCACCTGCAACTTGGGCAACTTATCCAGTTGGCTAAGACTGCGCTTGAACATTATGAATTTTTGTGTAATTATAAATGTTGATTCTCAAGCCGATGCCTATGGCATTTTTTTCCATGATATATAGTTAACCCAGGCAGGGCCATAGCTGGCTTGGGACGGTGCTCCTGGGCCCCCGAAGGTAAGGGGACTCGCCGGGGCCCCTTTTTACCGACCATTTTACATGTTGCCCCAGGGCCCGATGCTCTAGCTAAGGCGCTGAACCAAGGTCAAAAAAATGAAACTTTTTAAAAGGTGAATGCTTATTCCTGCAAAGAAAATGTTAGTATAGACCTATCTAAGCTTAAATCGATACTTAGTTTTCATTTCTAATGCACCACATTCATCATAATGACCCCCACCCTTATCAAAAATGCAAAAATTGGTCATAAAATTAATATCTTCAAAAAATCGATTCTTAAAAATCTGTTTTTGCACCAAAACAAAATTTATTTTTCTAAACCGATTGTGGATGGGTAGAATAAGTCGCCAACTATACAAAACAGTCACTCTTATAAATTTGCAAAAATTGGTCATAAAATTATCTAAAAATATGTATATTCTATTTATTAGATAAAAATAGTACGTACAAGATATTACTTGAAATCCTAACCCAGCAGCTATGGCTGACACTAGTTTTATACTTAAGCTTTCATATAAATATTTAAAAAAAACCCACCGTCACGAGATTCGGTGCGAAATACCTTCCACTGATGAAAATGCAAAAATTGTACTGATAAGTTAGCTACACGTTCCCCATAAATTATGACCATAAGGGTGGATGAAATTTGTACCACCCCGAAACGTGAGTGAACTGATTCAGATAGCTGAATAATTCTTTGTACAGGTGATCCCAGCATTTTGGGGATCATGAGCTAGACAAATGGGAAACGGCTCTTGAGTTTTAAGACTGTACAAGGGTCAAAAAAACTTGAAAAACATAATTTTCAACAATAACGACTACTTAATTACTCTTTTAACCAAGGTAACAATCGTAATTGTAAATTCTATATTAGTTGCAAGGATATATAAACTTTGGCTTGCCGAAGTTGGCTTCCTTTCTTGTTTCAAATAAACTTCGCTGGGTATACATCACTAGAATCTGCATTGTTAATACGAATTCTCTGGCTCTGAAAGTTTGGAAGTTTCTAGACGATCATACGGACGGACAGACAGTACTAGATCGACTCGGTTATTGTCCTTGACCAAGGACATATATACTTTTGAAGTCAATACTATAATACATACATATATACTTTTCAACGAATACCAAATACTCTTATCCTCCATGAAACGGGTATACAAATCTTTAGACCATAAAAATGTGGTAAGATAGAGGCAAAGCAGTCTAAACATACCGTTTTCCAAATTACCGAGCACCATGCTAAACACATCTGATTGTATGAGAGATACGACATTCCAGCAGAGATAATATAATAAACCTAATTTTGGTTATTCTTTGTATGGAGTACAATTATCCGCACACATGCATATCCGTAGGCTATATAAGCCTACGGAATCAGACAGATTCGGCTTAGTTAGTGAGATCTCACCAGCAGCACAACAGCAAAGAAATAAAGATGGACTCCTCCCAGAGGCAGTTATTGCTCCCGATCCTCGGGCTTCTGGTCTTGACCGGAACAGCTCTCAGTGGAGTCCAGGAGATGCACAATGTGCTCGAGCTGACAGGTCAGGCGGTCAATAAGCTGAGGTTCTCCACGGATGTGGCCATCGGCAAGTACACCCCGCCGGAGGAGATGGATCCGCAATTCTGGTACAATATCGCTGACGAGGAAATTGCCAAGCGACTACTTCTACCCCAGCCCAATGCCCAGAAGGCCAAGAACGTCATTATGTTCCTGGGCGATGGAATGCCCCTAGCCACCATCACAGCTGCTCGTATCCTGAAAGGACAACGCCAGGGAAAAACTGGAGAGGAATCCTCGCTGAGCTTCGAGCAATTTCCCTATACGGGTTTGAGCAGGGTGAGTTTTGGTTAGACCTCCATTCACAAACCTATCTACATTTTTCTTAGCAACAAAATAGGACCCAATCAGTTGCGCGACACCTAAATAAAAGGGACTTGTATTTCGTAATTAAAGAATTTTTAACCACCATTCCTATAAAGAAATAAATAGAAAAGCCAACTAAAAATTAGGGACTGTAATCATATGAGCGATATTCAAAAGCGGAAAAAATATCGCTCAGTAAAACGGATTATTTTTTAAGCGATGTAATTTCGCTTAAAAATATCACTCAAAAACCGAAAGCAGAGAATGATGACAAGATTAAAATATGTACTTGTAGGTTAGACCACGGAGCACATATACAAGATATAAAAAGTTGTTAAAATATTCATTATTTCCGAGTGATATTTTTTTTCGCTTACAAATAAAAAAATCATTATTTCTTATAAAAATCAAAAAGAAAATTATCATTGCGGATTCGAAAAAATAATCCAAATAGCAACCAAATGGTATAATTCAATTGATTATGAGACTTTTGGAAGTGGATGATTTTTTAGTTTGGAAAAACCAAAATAATGATTGTTTTCGGTCCCTGATTAAAACATAAATTCAGTAATTGTCAGCCTAAAAGATTATAATTTTTAGTTGTTCCAAAACACCATCAATTTATTTTAATGTTATAATTTGTAATGGTTTATCTTTTCAGACCTATTGCACCAATTCACAGGTACCGGACTCCGCCTGCACCGCCACCGCCTACTTGTGCGGCGTAAAGACCAATGTCGTCAACATTGGAGTAAGTGCGGCTGTAGAGTTCAATAACTGCACCGCCAGCCAGGATCCGGCCAACCGCCTGACCTCCATTGCGGAATGGTCACAGAAGGAGGGCAAGTCCACAGGATTTGTGACCACAACCACACTGACCCACGCCAGTCCCTCGGGAGCCTATGCCAAGACGGCCAATCGAAAGTGGGAGTGCGACACGGACGTAACTAAAAATGGTGCGGATGCCAGCACCTGCATCGACATGGCCACCCAACTGGTGACCCAGACGCCTGGAAAGAACTTCGAAGTCATGTTTGGCGGGGGCATGGGCAAGTTCCTGCCCAACACCATCGAAGATAGTCATGGAAAAGCTGGAGAGCGATCCGATGGTGTCAATCTCCTGTCCCGTTGGCAGGGACTCCACGATGGCAGTGTCCTGGTCACCAATCGCAAGCAGCTGCTCAGCGTAAACGTGTCCGCGGTGTCCAGCATCGTTGGTCTCTTCCAGTCAAAGGTGATGGACTTCCACATGGATGCAGATGCCACCTACCAGCCCACCCTCTCCGAACTCACCGAGGTGGCCATCAAGAAGCTGAGCCACAACGACAAAGGATACTTCTTGTTTATTGAAGGTGGGTTGTACTCCGTAATTAAAAGTCATATCTTGAAAATCCATAGTTTTGTAACTAACTAAAAAACATTTTCAGGTGGTCTAATTGACTATGCCAACCACTTCACTAAAGCTGGATACGCCTTGGATGAGACTCTGGAGTTCGAAAAGGCCGTTCAGTTGGCTCGTGACATCACCAACATTGAGGACACGCTTATTGTGGTGACTGCAGATCACGGCCACGCCGTTAGCATTGCCGGATATCCTGGCAGGGGCACTCCCATCCTGGGCATCAATCAGCACGACGCTGATCTGAATGGCGTGAAGTACTCGGTGCTCAACTATGCGGCAGGACCTAACCAGTATCTGGATGAGAACGGCCAGCGCATTCCCTTGGACGATATCCTCGGCTCCTATGACGCCATCACGCCCAGCTATATCGCCAAGGACGCAGGCGTGCACTCTGGCGAGGATGTGGGCGTCTTCGCCTCCGGTCCGCAGAGCCACCTTTTCACCGGAGTGATGCAGCAGAGCACCATTCCCCACCTGATGGCCTACGCCTCATGCGTGGGCAGCGGAAAGAAGGTGTGCGACAATTAAGTGCGGAAGATCTGAGCACTGAAGAAATTAATAGACTCAAGCAAACAGAATTAAAGCGCCAAATTTTTGAATGTATTTGTTTCTCTATTAAAATGTTACTAAGCAATTTTATATTTATGTTTATTATTAAAAGAGGCTTTAACATTAAATAAGGGTGTAGGAAAAAACTTGTTATAAAACGTTTAAATACTTAACCAACAAGCCATAAAATGGAGCAATATAAAATATAAAATTGTAAACTTAGATTAGATATCCTGATTATATTTACTTGTCTAGCATAATAGGCAAGTATTTTCTCTTAAATAAGAAATCTTGCCTATAGTAAGCATCTTTTTAAAATGTGCCCCTTTGGTAATCGCTATATCTTTTAATTACCAACGTGATTGTCTTGAACTCATGTTTCACTTAGCACCGCCACCCCCAAATCTAACCTTGAGTGTGGGGTGAGGGTCAGTTCCTTGGTTAAAATCTGGGTGTCGTGCCCACTTTTTAAATCCCAAGGTGTTTCGTACACTCAGACTTTACGACTGGTAGCCACTTCTATTGACTTAAATACCACAATAATCATAAAGTCTAATAACTAAAAACTGAGTAAATATGAAACCATAAACTGAGATTTTTTTTTGACGTTTGAAGGATTACGATACGGAGATGCGACAATTAAGATAAAATCTGCCGCGTGTAGAACGATGGTATGGCATCAGTTTAATAGCTTATCCGAAGAGACAAATCTGTATTTGATTTGTACTCGAATAAAAAAAGCGTATCAAAATATAAAATTACAAATATCAAGTTAAATGTTTCGAGAATATGGTAAATGTGTGGAGTACAAATCACTACGCCTAAAAGCCACTAAGATTGTGAGGTTTACGATTTAAGCTTTGCCTTGTTTTTCTATATGATGGTATGGGTACCAAAAAATATCAACTGGGACTACTATATCCTACTGAATTTGCAAACCCAATTATTTTATTAATTCCAAACTTCACTTTTTTTGACCATGTTTCCGTATTTGAAATGTATCCAAAACTGTATCAGTATATTTGCTTGCTATTTATTTCATTTTTAAGCCTGGCAGTTGGCATTGGCCCAGAGTTGGGCCTGAGTCTGGAAGAAGCTTACCAACTCGTCCATGCTCACGTTGGCCAGCAGATCGTTGATCTTGGGAACAAGGAAGTGCTGGTACAGCAAATCGGTGATGTTGGGCTGGATCTCCTCGAGAGCGAGTGGCAGCAGGGTCTTCATCAAGCGGTTCCAGAAGTTGTTGGTGGAGCTGTTCCACAGGGTGTTCCAGTTGTCCAGTTCGACGCCGGCCAAGTAGATGGTCTGCTTGAAGTCCACCACGCGCAGTCCGGACGAATTGGTAAGGCTGTTGGCGAAGCTGTAGCTGCCCACGAAGCGCAGATCCATCAGAGCCTCGTTGATCACGTCATTCTGGCAGATGGGCAGCTTGAGGCCCCCGACGTTGATGAATCCATCCATCTGCGCAAAGCCCAGCACTTGAATGTTCGGGAAGAGCAGGTCGTAGGCGGCCTCGCCGGTTTGGCCATAGTCGCTGGCGCTCAGAACCTTGAAGGTGTCCAGGCCCTGGATGCGGATGTTGGTCACGTTGCCCACCACGGTGAAGTCATCGCTGGCCACATCGAACTCGTAGAACGGATTCACGATGGGGGCCAGCACTGGGATGTCTCCGTAGCCGCAGGGCATGATGCTCTTGAAGGCCTGCAAAAAGTCGGTCATTGCCGAGGTAAACTGGGCGCTGGCCGCCTGTTGCACCACCGGAGTGGCTCTGACTGCGGTCAGACCCAGAAGGAGGGTCACAAGGAGCAGCTGGGCGCTGGAAACCATTTCGATCGATCGTGGTGAGCTGGTTGCCAAACTAATAGCGAATAATTAACGATCAAGACAGTGAGCCTTTTATATGCGAATTCTTATCTATTATCGTCTAATTGATCGATTACATATCGATTGAATCGCTTGTATCTTGCTGATATCAGAGCTATAGCTCTTTAATCCCAGCAGACCAGGACTGAGTCATCCGTACGCTTGTGTTTCGGAGGTTTCGTTTACTTAATAGCTGATAAGTTCGGTAACAACACATGTTTTGCTTACAAAAAGAAGTTCTGGGAAAACTTTCTTTAATTGATTGCCTTTTATAAGTAGTGCTTCGAACTACAAATAAAATTCAAATAAATTTTTACCTTTCGGAATTTTGTAAGTTTTGTGCTGCAAAAGACGTTTTGTGTTAAAATTAACTAATTTGTATCACCTAATCCAAGGTTCTGCAATACTGAAACAGGTTTGATCATTTGATGAGTACATTAGTTATAAAAATAAATTTTGAAAGTAAACACACCAATATGTATGGTTTTTGCCTAATAACGCTTCCCAATTACAATCCTCTCTGGAACACCGTTTATTACGAACTATGACGTACCAATATTATACGCATACTCTAAAGTTTTTTTCAAAAATAACAGCTCAGCTTTAAGAAATTTGAATGATTTAATAACCAAACTAAGTTAACATAAAAAACTTGAATTTGCTTCAGTTTTGATTATAATATATACCAAAGTAAACTTGACCTAATAGCATTTTTTTCTTTAAGAATCAAAATTTGATTGTAATCGGTCTTTCAAATTTTAACTTAGCATATAATCCGATATCTTTATCTTTAAATTATGATATAAATTATGATATAATAATTTGTGATGGTTTAGGAAAGGTACCTGCGCAGGTGTTTTATATGATTTTAGTTATTGTGATAATGAAATAATAAGAAGTGAACTAGAATGCCCGATTAAACATTAACAACTTTCACCGTAAGCAAATCCATTACCACGAGATGCGCTGTAAATTACCCCCAATTAGAAAAATATGTGCAAGTTACAGTGATAAGAAAGTCACACGTTCCTAGTAGATTAGTATCTTGAGATGGACTGCCTTTTTTACGACACCAAACGTGACTGAACTGAATCAGATATCTGGACAAATTCTTTGCACAGGTGATTCCAGCATTTCGAGGATCATGAACTAGGTAAATGTACAACGTCTCTTTAGTTTTTTGCAACACATAGGTAAAACATTCTCAGAAGACAAGTATAAATTTTGTTAGAGCCTTACACAGTGTAACAGCGTCACTATCTCAATAGAAATGTATTTGTAAGTTTCAGCAGATCTTCCTAGAGTTACGGAATACCAACAGAGATAAGTTCAAGGGTCCATAAAGTGGGAATAAAGCGTATTTTAGACATTCCTTATTTGTAGTACAATAATTCAGTGCAGGGCAAACGATATAAAACCTCGGAATTAAAAAAGTTCGGAGTAGTTAGTTGGATTTCGTTTCAACTGAAAGATGCACTTGTTCGCCATGCAGGTACTGCTACCGATCCTGGAACTCCTGGCCTTGGCCGGATCAGCCTTTAGCGGAGTGCACGAGGTTCACGACGTATTACAGCTGGCTGGTCAGAAAGCTAACAAGGCGAGGTTCTCCACGGATGTGGCCACCGGCAAGTACACCCCGCCGGAGGAGATGAACCCGCAATTCTGGTACAATATCGCCGACGAGGAAATTGCCAAGCGACTCCTTTTACCCCAGCCCAATGCCAAGAAGGCCAAGAACGTCATTATGTTCCTGGGCGATGGAATGCCTCTAGCCACAGTCACAGCTGCTCGTATACTGAAAGGACAACGCCAGGGAAAAACTGGAGAGGAATCCTCGCTGAGCTTCGAGCAATTTCCGTATTCGGGCTTGAGCAGAGTGAGTATGTTTTAGAGCTTTGTTCACAAAGAGAAATATTACATACAAAATATTGGATTATTTTACCCTAGCAGAAGGTATTTCAGAAAGTTAAATATATGTATTCTTGATTACCAAAGAGTTGATTTAGTCATGTCCGTCTCTCCAATCTTCCGTCCTTGTCTACACTCATAGAAAAAATCAAGAATTTCGATGTCAATTCAAGAACGAACGATGTCAAAAGTAGGGTAAATTCGAATTTTTTTGATTCAAGAACGAAAGGCTTTATTCAAGAACGAATTATTCAATCCCGAAGTTCTACATTTGAGAACGAACGTCATCAGTTCAAGTACTCAAAAGTGCTTGAAGAAAGAGCGAAAGATATTAATTTGAGTACGAAAAATTCTTAATGCAAGTATGAAAGTTTCTTAACTTAAATTTTTTTAAAAAATGTTTTTTGTCTCTTTTTCTTGTTTTTCTTTTCTCTTTGACTCCATATGAAATTAGAATGAAAGAGAATATGATAAATTGATATGTAAAGGAAACAGAAAAGCAAACCTTATTTATTTTACTGCAAGTCGACCCAACCGGGATTCGAACCGAGGCCTTTGGATTCGTAGACGCATTAGCCGGTTGCGCCACACTGGCATCACAATTTGCTGTGTACTACGCCCGTATAAGAATTCGAAGCAATTTGTTTGCAATCAAATTGCTTTTATTTGCTATACTTTTGAGGTCAACTAGATAAAAATTTAAATAAAATTGAACGTTTGAAAAAAAATCATAAAAACCAAAAAAAAAAAAAAAAATTGATAACTTTGTCTGGGATTTGAGCTCGGGTTCTTAATAGCTTACCCAATGTTTGATGTTCCAAGACACTTACCCCCTAGGCCAATCATTTTAAGAACGAAACATTCTTGTTTTAAATTTATAGTTCTTGTTTTTTTGTTAAATTAATAGTTTTTAATAGAGTTTACTGTTTTTAATAATTCTGATATTATTTACAACCACTATAAGCAGGGATAAAGCGAAAAATATCGTTTTCTCTATGTATTAAAAAAACATTTTAAAATATTATTATCAAGTATGACTCGTACTTATTCTGTACACGTTCGTTCTAAAAATTTTAAGAATTATTCGGGCGATTTTCAAGAACGTTCGTGCTAAAATTATTCGTTCTACTTTTTTCTGGGTGTACGCAAACAATTTCTTTTAAATTTAAAAATTAACCAAAAATCGACTTTATTGCTTTTGTACATGCTCGAGTAAAATCCAAAATGTTGTTGTTTTATTTATGTAATAGCTGCAAGGGTTTTTTTTTAACTTTCCATAAGCAAAGTAGAGAGCAGCCATATATATATATATATATTAGTTTAGTTAAATCTTATTTTTACTGCCATTACGTAAGTTGCCTGCGTTCCTTTATTATAATTTCATTTGAGTGTCTTAAGCATATAATTTGTATAAATATTTGACTTCGTTTTATCTTTAAAGACCTACTGCGCGAACGCCCAGGTTCCCGACTCGGCCTGCACTGCCACGGCTTATCTTTGCGGCGTGAAAACCAACATCATTAATATTGGAGTAAGTGCCGCTGTGAACTTCAACAACTGCACCGCCAGCCAGGATCCGGCCAACCGCCTGACCTCCATCGCTGAATGGTCACAGAAGGAGGGCAAGTCCACAGGATTTGTGACCACCACCACACTGACCCACGCCAGTCCCTCGGGAGCCTATGCCAAGACGGCCAATCGGATGTGGGAGTGCGACACGGACGTGACTAAATATGGTGTGGATGCCAAGACCTGCATCGACATGGCCACCCAACTGGTGACCCAGACGCCTGGAAAGAACTTCGAAGTCATGTTTGGCGGCGGCATGGGCAAGTTCCTGCCCAAGGCCATCAAGGATAGCCACGGAAAAGCTGGAGAGCGATCCGATGGGGTGAACCTGCTGTCCCGCTGGCAAGGACTTCACAACAAGGGCGTCATGGTCACCAATCGCAAGCAGTTGCTCAACCTAAACGTCTCTGCTGCGTCCAACATCATTGGTCTGTTTCAGTCAAGTTTGATGGATTTTCACATGGACGCGGATGCCACCTACCAGCCCACACTCTCCGAACTCACCGAGGTGGCCATCAAGAAGCTGAGCCACAACGACAAAGGATACTTCGTGTTTATTGAAGGTGGGTTGTCCTTCTCATTTACAAAACGTATCTTGAAAATCGTATCTTATTTTTCAGGTGGTTTAATTGACTATGGCAACCACTACACCCAAGCGGGCTACGCCTTGGATGAGACTCTGGAGTTTGAAAAGGCCATTAAGTTGGCCAGGGACATCACCAACATTGAGGACACACTGATTGTGGTGACTGCAGATCACGGTCACGCCGTTAGCATTGCCGGATATCCAGGCAGGGGCACTCCCATCCTGGGCATCAATCAGCACGACGCTGATCTGAATGGCGTGAAGTACTCGGTGCTCAATTATGCGGGTGGACCTAACCAGTATCTGGATGAGAAGGGCCAGCGCATTCCCTTGGACGATATCCTGGGACCCGATGACGCCATCACGCCCAGCTACATCCCAATGGAAATTGGAGTGCACTCCGGAGAGGATGTGGGTGTTTGGGCTTCCGGTCCACAGAGTCATCTTTTCACGGGAGTGATGCAGCAGAGCACCATTCCCCATTTGATGGCCTACGCATCATGTGTTGGCAGTGGGAAGAGGGTGTGCGGTAACTAAACACCGAAAACCTAACACTACAAAAATTAATCTAGTTTTCTTTACTTTTTAACAATGTACTTGACTGTTTGAAATAGTCAAATAGCATAGTCAAATAGCATAAGTTGTTAATTTTTAAAATTATTTATTTGTTACTCGTAGAGTAAAGGGGTATATTGTATTCGTTGAAAATAAATATATATATTATTAATCATGATCAATAGCCGAGTCGATCTGTCTGTCCGTCTGTATGAACGATGAGATCTCGGAAATTATAAAAGCTGGAAACTTTTGCATTTGGCATGCAGATTCTTCTGTGTAAATAAATAAACCGTATTTTGTTTAATTTTTACTTTTACATTTTTTTGTAAAGCCGTTAACATTTAAGCCTGATCTGTATACAAATTCTGCAACACTTTTCATTACGATGGTTGAGTATGTATCTGACCAAAAAACCTTAGAGCGATTGTCTCCTTTTTTTCTAGAATAATCTCTTAGTCTGTTATCACGGTTCTCTAATTTAAACTCATGTTACATTGCAACCACCATCTCCATAAATTCGGTTTAAACTCTGCCGTGCTTTTGAAAGCCGAAGTGTGTTCGTTTATTGGCGACATTTCATTGGACCAGATTTTCGGCATGGTAGCCAGGTCTTTTATCTGAGAGACCCCCATAATCATAAACTATGATGACCAAAAGACTTGGTAAATATTAAAACATAAACTGGGATCATTAAAGGTAGACAGATTATGCCACGGTGATATGGCAATCCAGATAGCACAAGTCTGGAAGGGCTTATAAATAGTCGCGTGCAAAATCTGAAATTAGTTCAAACGCCGACATGAAGAGCTACGTGGCCATTATCCTGGTGTGGAGCGCCCTGGTGGCCTCCTCCATGGCTGCTTCTATAGACAGTGAGTTCAGGAATGGATTCCAATTCTAAGAGAATTCCTTAGGAATCAAATTTTCAGTGCCCGAGATCCATACCCAAAGTCAGTTAGTCGGAGCATCGGTGAGTTCGGCGAAAGGCCGTGATCTAAGCCTCATCGATCCCAATGTCATGGGCAAGGGAAAGCCGACCCCCGAGGAGGAGAAGAACGCCCAGTTCTGGTACGACCTGGCCCACGAGGAGATCGCCAAGCGGCTGGAGCTGCCGCAACTGGACAAGAGGAGGGCCAAGAACGTGATCATGTTCCTGGGCGACGGCATGTCCTTGTCCACGGTGGCAGCCGCCCGCATCCACAAGGGCCAGTTGAAGGGCAATCCAGGCGAGGAGGATTCCCTGAGCTTCGAGAAGTTCCCCTACACCGGTTTGAGCAGGGTGAGTACTTAACAGGTAGCAAGACCATTACACTGGTAAATAAACGTAGTCAGTTTAAATATTTTTCGCTTTGATATTCATCCACTGCGGTTTCTAGCTATTTTAAATATGAAAATATACACTATTAATATTAAAAATTAAATTAATTAATGTAATAGTTCGATAATTATTTTGACTATTCCATTTTTATTTTTTAAATGGAACTTAAAAGCCCATGTGATCTACCATTATATTATTTTGGATCCTTATTAGATAATGTTAGACTATCATTATTGTTACTGGTATATTTCTTAAATTACTTTTCTGCTGCCTTCGTGGCTGCATTAATCTAATTCTATATTGAAGGGGAATGACTATCTATCTATATTTGACATGGGATGTTAATGTTTGTGTAATGAGAGCTAGATTGAATTGTTTGTTTTGTTGTTGTGAGCTACTCGAGCTGAGTTGTTTAAAGCTCATTAAAGAAGCTGTTACTCGATGAATTGATGATTCCATGACCATGATTACCAAATCATAGTCAAACAGATAAAACTCTAGTTTCGAGCTGATTCTTTCAATTTTTTGTTTGGTCTGAATTACTATATAAGTGATACATGCTTTTCCCGCAGACCTACTGTGCCAATGCCCAGGTGGCCGACTCTGCCTGCACTGCCACAGCCTATTTGTGTGGCGTGAAGGCCAATATCGTGGCTCTGGGAGTTACGGCGGCAGTGAACTTCAACAACTGCAGCGGCAGCGAGGATCCGGCCAACCGGGTGGAGTCCATCGCCGCCTGGTCTCAGGCTGCCGGAAAGGCCACTGGCATCGTGACCACCACCACGCTGACCCACGCCAGTCCGTCGGGAGCGTACGCCAAGACCACTAACAGATTCTTCGAGAGCGATACGGATATCCTGACCTACGGCGAGGGCCAAAATGATCCGGCCACCTGCACGGACATCGCCACCCAACTGATCACTCAGTCGCCGGGCAAGAACTTTGACGTGATGCTGGGCGGCGGAATTGGCAAGTTCCTGCCCAACACCATTACGGATCCGTTCAACAAGAAGGGAGAGCGCTCCGACGGAGTGAATCTACTGTCCCGCTGGCAGGGTCTGCATCCCGGCGGAGTTTTGGCCTACAATCGCGACCAGCTGCTGAGCGTGAATGCCTCGCGGATCACCAGTCTGATCGGCACGTTCCGGTCGGGCGTGATGAGCTTCCACAAGCTGGCCAATCCCAAGGAGGAGCCCACTCTGGCGGAGATGACGCGCAAGGCCATCGAGGTGGTCAGCAAGGACGAGGACGGCTACTTCCTGTTTGTGGAGGGTGGTCTGATCGACTACGGCAACCACTTCAACTCACCCACCTATTCGCTGGACGAGACGCTACAGTTCGAGCAGGCGGTGGCGGAGGCTCTGGGAATGACCGATCCCGAGGAGACCCTGATCGTGGTCACCTCCGATCACGCTCATCCGCTGACCATCTCTGGCTATCCTGGCAGGGGAACCCCCATCCTGGGACTCAACCAGCATGACACCGATGTGAACGGTGTCAAGTACGCCACGCTGAACTATGCCGTGGGTACGAAGCAGTACCTGGACGAGCATGGCCAGCGCATCGATCTTACCGATCAAATTGGAGCGGAAGGTAAGAGCTATTTGTTACAATGTTTTATTACCAGTAGATGCTCCAAATGGGGACATAAAGTGACTGTTCTTAAACCAAATTTGTAAAATGCTTAGCTTAATTATTTAGTTTTAAAATATTTTATTGAGTGTCTAAAAGTAGGCAATGAAAAATAGAAAGGCCGTCTTCCTATCGGACTTCGGGATTTAAAAAAAAATGTATATACATACTGCATACTTTCAGGCATCTTTATAAGGTTTTTCAAAAACCTGTTGACTTCTGTAATCCTATATCATAAATATGCACACCGAATAATTTACTTTTGAATTAAGAATGTTCTACATTTTATATTTTTTATCGCTAATTTCGAAATCGAGTCACTTAAATCAAACTGATATAATTTGTTTCCTGATTCAAGCATCCCCATCGCTATTGTGAATTTAGAATTTACTTCATTTCTTATTTTCAATCTTCATCTTAAATTGTTCATAAATAAATAAATAAATAATGTCTTTGATTTTCTTTCAGACTTCATCCATCCCAGCTATATCCACGGTAGAATCGGCGTACATGCTGGCGATGATGTGGGAATCTTTGCCACTGGCCCCCAAAGTCATCTCTTCAGTGGAATGATGCAGCAGAGCACCATTCCCCACCTGATGGCCTACGCCTCGTGTGTCGGCAATGGACCCACTCTATGTGACAACAATGAAGACTAGAATTCCAATGAACATTTTAAATAGAGTATTTGAAAAGCACTCTCCTTTGACTTTGATTATTGTGGGCACTTTCGAGAATTTAATAATCAAATTGGCCCGACTCCCGTAATTTATGGCATGTGTCTGCCGAATTGACTTCAATTTAAAACGCATCAGCAGAGTCGCAGACACTCGCAGATGCAGATACAGATACAGATAGAATTTGTTGAGCGATCGAATCGATTTGTTGCCAGTGGACGGACGTAGACGGCTGTCACTTGCCGCATGTGGCGGGGAATAAATATGAATGCGCCGAATGTCAGGTTCAAGCGTTGGCATTGCCGCCAGTTGGGGATATGGCGGTATGGCGATATGGCAATATGTAGATATATGGACTCCCACACGCATGTGGAGCAGCTCCTTCACTCGCTGACTTTGACAATTGCAATTGTTTGCTTGTTTATGGGCCGCTCATTCAACAGAATTTATTTAAATGCGCTTGACTTGAAGTGAGCCGAGACGAAGGCGCAGCTCCGGACAATTAAGCTTAATGTTCGATCGTTGCTTATGCAATTAAGGATCGCTTTTGCCAAGGCAGTGTCCTTGCCCCATCAACTTCAATAACTCAATTAATCTGAATATTGGATCATTGGGGCAAAATATGAGAAATACACAAACTTAAAAACTGCTTAAACTTTAATATAGATGTGTAATGATAAATAATTATTTTTAATAAAAAAACTATTTACCGTCAATAAAATTAAATAAATATATATTAATAAAAAAATTTTTGAAAAATATTATAAATTTTGGGTTTACTCCAATTTAAAAGCAACTAAAGTAGTTAAAGCATTATGAGAAATACACAACATTTAAATACAAGTAATAAATAAATATAAAATATTTTTCTAAGGTATTTTGAATAAAATAAGCAAATCCGAATTTGGGTGTAAAGCTACTATATTTTTTACTGGCTTAAAATTTTGTAAGAAACCAATTTAAAAAACGTCATCACATCAGTTCAAATATCATATATTAAAGATTATTTTTTTTTTATATTTCACTGTTTAGGTTACTTTGAATATGTTTTCTTGTTGGTTTGTTTTGTTTAAAAAGTTTCCGAACAATTTGCTTGTTCAACGATTTGTGGGCTCAGCGAAAAGTGGAAGCCGTCAGAGGCTTGAGGTTCGTTGTGGTCGCAAAAAGCAAATCGCTTGTCGGCAGTTGCTTGTCGGCTTTTGGAGTGGCGTCGTTTCCCCGATTTTCAGTCCTCCGATCGCAGTTTAGTCTGGCAACTTGGCTCAGTCGCAGTCCGAATACCAAATCTGTTGCGACAGTAAACGCGAGTGCGGATCAGATCAGTCTGTAAGGTTTATTCCCAGTTTAACGCTAATTTCTGCTGACTGCTGTTAGCCAAATAAAAGTGCGCGAGTGTATCTTTGCATTGAAAAGTCCCGATTTCGGTGCAGTGATTGCCCCTTCAGTTGACTGCGACAGGTGAGAATTTGAGTTAGATAATGCCAACCAAATCCAATCCAGCTCGAACTGCCACCAATCGCAAATGTTGAAATCGAAATTTAATGCGTGGCTTGGCGGGAAATCAATATCAGATGGCTGGTCCCCGGATTTGCGGTAAATGAGTGTGTGCCCACAAACAGAAATTCGAGTCGGAAAAACAAAAACAGGTGGAACTCAATCTGACAGCTATCAGTTAACACTTGCTAATTAATCATACCAGACAAACAGCCTGAATATCTGCGCTAATCCAGGTAGCTAAGTCACTAGATTGGCGTAGGTAAAGAATTGATAACCTATTTAGCCCGACTTTTGGCCCCTTTTGGCCTGCTGGATATTTCTACAGGCAGAAACATTTATCAGAAATCTGAGCTTGAACTTGCATTTTTCATGGGACGCACTAGAAAGTCTGGAAGATGGCTGTGCCACTTTGGGCCAAGATCGGGTCTGCCCAAAAGCGCTGATGGCGTTTCGTGGGTGCAGACCAGATGCAGATGCAGATGCCTTCTCCAGATACGGATGCAAAAACAGGCAACGGAGCACAGTCACGCTATTTAAGAAAAATAGGAGAAAAATGCCCACTAACACGAGGCATTTCCCCATTCTCCACGAGTTTGCAATCGATCATCGCGGAAGAAAGATGTGGGATTTGGTGCTGAATTCATATCTTAAGGCAAATAGACAACCTGGGGATTGCGTCTTATTTTCGATGTGCAGCTGGAATTTCTCTGGCAAATGTTTACTTTTGGCATTAGAACGTCAGCGGGGGAACATGTTATTCTAGTTCTGTGTATTTTGCTCCACTGACCGTGAACTTGGGCACGTGGAATTCCTAATTGCAGCTCACATCAGCCGCCGAATGCACTATCCTGAGTGATTTGTGTGTAACCCCAGAAAAAGGGGTCAGATATCACGGCGCAAAATGTGCTGATCAGTTAGAAATACCTCTATTTAAATGCGGTTGGCTCTAAGGTTAACCAGAATTCGTGCAGGAAGCGATGCCTGAGCAATCTGTAATGGAACACCTGAAAACCAGAGCAGCCAAATATTCGGTATTTGTATCATCGCCATTGCCACTAATCCCATAAATAAGTCAGTTTTTCATCTCTGAGTGGACGACGCAAACACGCAATCCGGTCCAGTTCCGGCCCCTCCCCCTCCGCAGCCACTGGCTGAAAATCAAAAACAAACAAACAAACACACCTGACGAGTGAGCCAAAGCCCAGTCATGTAGCTACTGGTCTTGTCCAGGTGATGTCATATTTATCTCTGGTCGCGGGATGACGCTCTTAGAGTTAGGGGATCTTGAACCCAATTTGGGGGCTTCAGGCTTCATTCGTAGCTCCGAAAATTAATTCCTCCCCGCTACACTTACGATCTTTTTTGTCGCCGATCCAATTTGCATTTACATAATTCTCAGAGGTTTTACGACTCGTTAAGTATGGGGCCAAAACCCTCAGATCTATTTGATTACCTCTGCGGCATTTGCATAATCAATGATTCGAAAAGCTCAAATGGCGCATATTTACATAGCCCGAATTCGAAATGGGGGAAGTGTTAGCCGGGGCCCACTGTAAACGGGGGAACGTGACGTTGTCATTAGGCAAAGCGCCATTTAAATGGATTGGCTTGGGCAAGAACACACAGCTTGGTAAGCGGCAATTAAAATGTAAATTGCATCACAAGCAGTTTACATTCTGCCTTCAATTGCTCCGTCATCGTTTTGAAATATGGCTCATACGCACTGTTAGCCGACGAGTGGCGCGGCGGTTAAGGTTATTGCTATAGTACGAAAATATGTTAAATGCCCACATTTATTTATTCGCAATTGACACGCTTCGTGTATCAGTCCGATCTTAGCATTTTTTCTCAATTGATTCGAATGGTTATTGTGGCTATTACGATTAATACAATGTGGTTATGACTCGCCTGGGGTGCTTGCATGCAACCAAATAGACTCCCACACCCCGGCAATCAACTTCGACCTTTCCGCAGGTGATGGAATGTATCTGCTTTTCTCAATGTATCTCTATTCGCCATTTAACGAGATATACGATCCGACGATGTCACAGAAGCAATTGCGCTCTGCCGTCGATTTTGATTTATGGCACGTATCGAACGACTCCCATTCAATCAGTGATTCAATGGCGCTAAATGGAAAATGCACTTAGCTATCAGTCGGCTGTCAGCAGGTTGACAAATGACGTCACCGCCATTGCCACTCGAGTGCAGCGGCAAATACGGATCTATGTGACGTCACGGCCCACCTGCAACACTGATAGGCATTTTTTGTTTGGCCAAGAAACACGGGCTTTGGGCTATTTACTTTTCCCAGTCAGTTGCTCTGGGCATTGCCACGATATTTGTGGCCCATTAGCAGTTTACACCTTGGCGAGCGCTAAAGTGGCGCCCTGCGATCGAATCGGGGGAACCTGTTGGCACTTTCAATTATGCAACCGGTGCTAATTGAACTTGGCCAAAGTGAAACCCCAGTCCAGAAAATGACAGCCAGTCAGATCGATAGATAGAGCGAATAAAGCCATAAAAGTTCATGAATGGGGCGAGTGAATAGTTGACGACGACAAAAGTGGGAATTGCTTATCCATGAGATACTTAATTAACACACCCTTTTTAAGTACGCATTACCTCTTTGTCCCTTCAAAATGGAAATGTTTATAATAGCCAAGCACAAGCGAAAAATTCTTTATCATAAAATAATCAATTTAGACAACTATTTTCAAACGTTGGAAAAATTCAAAATAAATTATCGAAGAGATACTCAAAATCAAAAAGATACTCAACTTCAATAATTTTCTAGGTGACAAATTAAAGAAAAGAGATCATTCCTCTCATCTTCCCAACCCAAAAATTCACATTTTTTTGTGTATTTAAATTTTTTATTTTTCTACGTCCAATTATGAGATATTTATGAGATATTAAGTTTAGGTACTCTATTGTTCCATTAATTTATCACTCGTGGGCAATTAATTTATGATGACATGTCACCCATTAACATCACACAAAGTTTTTGGGCTAACTGCGCAAAATAATGGAATGGAAATTAACTATATAATTGGAGCGACATTGTTGAGCAGTGTGACAAGCGTAAAAGAGGTAGGCAAAAATAATTTTTGTTTTTGTTTGGGGGCACGTCATATCTATATCCGTACATGTAGCCAAATAACATCGCTATGATTCAGTCTTACAAGCAAATAGCATTTTTTTGGGAATGCAAAGCACATTAAGCCCGATGAGCGAATGCTTTGTCATCGGCCTGCAGACATTGACACTGCCTGAGTGTCACTGACATTGGATGAGGCCGCATTAAAATCAACATGCCCATGTACACGGATCGTATGTGTATCTACAAGCAGATACAGCTGTATCTATCGCACGCCAAGTGATTCGCTCTTGGCATTGACAATGACTTTCTGGCCGAAACAATGGCGCAAACATCCGCGAAAGCGACAATTGTCACAAATTCGAAGTGATCACATTTTTCGATTTATTGGGACTCTTTCGGGAAGCTCATTAACCCAGTAACC